AACATCGGAGATCTCTGTCCAGAAGAGCGCAGTCCTGGGAACAGCTAAGATACTGCGCAGGACCCTCAAGCTCCCAGGCCTCTGGTAGAGGACCCGAGCTTGAAGGATAAACCGCCCGCAGGGGCGTGCTGGGTGTTTTTATAATGTTATCATTGTTATTTTGGTTCCAGGTGGAGATGTGTGTGTGGCAGGTCATGACAGCGGGCCAGTGTTTGAAGAACAGCCGAGCAGTTTAATTTACCCTGAAGGCCTGACTGAAGGCAAAGTGACCCTGAGCTGTCAGGCCAGAGCAAATCCAGCTGCTGCTTATAGGTGAGTCTTACACACTCATTCCCTGTGGAGCCCACATTTTATAAAATGAGTTGGTCTTCTAAGTTTGTTTTAGGGTACTTACTTTGATTCCTATATTAAATTGCTGTCTTATTTTGGTTTAGAATGGGGCGAATAATCTTTTGATCCCCTGGTGAATTTGTACAGTGGGGAAAATAAGTACTGAACACGTCACCAATTTTCTAAGTAAATATATTTCTAAAAGTGCTTTTGATATGAAATTCTCATCAGATATCAGTAACAACACATCCAGTCCACACGTGTAAAGAAATCAAGCCACAGATGTCCATGCAGTGCCTTGTGACCTCCAAACATGGTTCATATTATTGCATTCAAAAACTTGATCTTGAAGTTTTGGTCTCATCTAACCAGACTCTAGTCAACTAACATTTCACAGGCTTGTTTAAATGTTGTTCAGCAAACTTTAAACACACTTCAACATGCTTTTTCTTTCAGCAATGTTGTCTGGAGTGGTGAGTGTGCATATGGCACTTAAGTGCATTACTTATTGTTTTCTTTGAAACCGTTGTACCTGCTGATTCCTGGAGCTCTCCACAGGTTGTCTTTGGCTCTGGGACAACCCTCGTAAAAATTATTTTCACTCTTCTTTTTGCAGGGGGCACCTGGTCATGGCCAGTTTATGTCAAAATGATGTTCTTTCCACTTGTGGACTAACCACTGCCATCAGTATGTTTTGCAACAATTAGGTTGCAAAGACCTTGTGAGAGCTCATTGGTTTTACCCATCACAAGCTGTTTATCGGGTGCATTGGTAATGAGACACTTTTTTATAGGCCTTCAGTTTGGACTGAACTGTACTTCACCCACATTTGATGCAAAGGAGCTCACTGCTTTGGACCAGTAGGTTCGGCTACGTACAGGAGAGGCAAACTGAATGAGACTCAGGCAACTGTGAGTTTAGAAAACCGCTGGCTTGTGTATTTTTACTCATTCAGAAATTAAAAGAATGAAAATTAATAACAAACATACTTTTCAAATGAAAGTATCCCTTTTTGGTACCAGTATTTTCCTTCAGTGACCCTGTGGTACAATCACAGTAATCACTTAAAAAAAACCTTACCTGGGTGCACCCTTCTAAGTGTATAATCAGGGTTCAAGTTCAAGATAAACCACAATCTCAATTACCAAAATCCAAATAGCAACTTTCATCTGCAACTTCACAGACTTTGTTAGCTGATTGCAACAACCATTGAGTTGGAAAAATAGATCCAACGGCCCACACCCACTTCTCTTCCTGTTCATGGGATGTATAGAGTCCGTAAAAAGTCCTTAAAATAAACCGTCCATAAGTCCAGGGGGTTTGTGTGAAGAAGGGGAACAGTAATATCAAAGTGGCGTGGTGTGTTTTTTTTGTTGCAGCTGGCCTACCACACTCTGCTGTGCAGCACAGAACAAAGTCAATTGGTCCGTCAACGGGGTTGGCTCGCCATCGATTACAGGATCCATTGCAATGCATCGATAGGAAGGACACAAAGGAAAAAATCGGACCTGTCCATGACAGTGTCATAGGACATTAAGTTCCCATATAATCACAGATCACAACTTGCTATCACTTAAGATGTACTATTTGTAACGTTACCCATGTTACAAATTGAAAATAAACAGTAAAGCACAGAATAATCTGTGCAACAGATTCAAATGCTTTTTTTTCAATAAGTAAAATAAAGTTTTTCGCAAAACATTGTAAACAATTTCCTAATAAATACTAGAAAATTTTGCTTACAATGAACTCATGAAAAGTGCAGATAAACAATAAACAATTAAAATGCTCACCGATCTCAAAAAAGAATGGCGTAGGAGCGCGAGATGGCGCAGGAACGATGAAATGGCGTTGTCTAATTCACAACCTTCCCTGACCTAACAATGTAAAAGGAACCAAACTAGTTACTCGTCTTACCAATACAAATGCAATAAAACAATTTTTCATAAGCAGCAAGTGCTAACTCTTCCGTTTATATCACTTTTCCCCGTACCTCGTTTCAGTGAATCTCCATCTCTTTTTCCTCGCTAGCGTAGTCATGGGGTATTAGTGAGAGAGGAGGACAAACCTGCGCTCTCTCAGCCGTAGATGGCGTGCGGGGCACTGCACCACGTTGCAGCAGCTCATTGGCTAAGAGCAACCCACGTTTACTTCAGAACTCTTAACTCTTTCACTGCTGAACCTGTGGCTCATTCACTATAAACCGAGTGTGACTGCTAAGATTGATAGTCTTTTTTTATGTTTTGGTACATTTTATCCAAGCCATACTTAAATATGGGTTACACAGGTGTCAGCATTGACTGATCATGCTGAATCTGCGATTTGAAATGTGTTCCTGATTGGATTCATCCTACCGTGCAAATAGACTTGGACACAGTTCTCTTACAGAACCTATGATATCTTTGGGTGGATCAGCCCGCTGAGGCCAGACTCAGACTCTGAATTTCAGTTATTAGTTTTAATACTTTTAATATGTTTTCAAGTGTTTTCTCCAAGATCCAGTCGTTAGACACATTGTTGTGTTTCTGTCCTTTTATATTGATAACTGAGCGACTGGAAAATCACAGAATAGCCAACTAATGTAAAGCTGCCTGTGACCAAGTGGGTGAGAACACCACTTGTCTATATTCTTAGTTAACATTCTTGTTTTGATTTAGCCATATCTCATATGTATTCTGTAATATCAAACATTAGTGGTGGCCCGCTTGAAGCTGACGCTGTGTGTGTCAAAAAGAAGCACTGTGTGGAGACTTGATTCGTTTGGCCAGAGTCACGTGATCAGTGACGTCCGAAGCTTCATTTAGAACCTAACTGCTTCGGTGGTTTATAGGGAAGTGAATCATTCGCGGGATTCATGGAGTGTTTTGATGGTGAGAGACAGCAAACCACTGATTATTGTATTGAGAGATTTGGAGCCAGCGAGGAAGCGAGGAGGTTCTGTCGTGTGGGAGTATTTAGAGTTGATTTTAGTCAGTTTTGGTTGGGTTTTCCAGCTTTGTGTTCTTGTTGTTTGTTTTTGTTTAGTGCGTGTTTATTTTTTCTGAAAACGTGAAAAACTTAACATGTCAAAAATCTGCTTTTCATAATATAAATATCATTAAATAACTTTAGAAACACATCCATTTGACTCTTTTTATTTAATGTAATAAAATATATTTTATTTTAAAAATAATCTTAAAATGTTTTCTGGCTGATAGTCTGTGGGACCCAGGAAGACCGTACACCTGCATCTCTACAGTTTCTGTGTGAGAGGATTTCTTCAAAGGAGAAATCATCTCAGCCATCGCACGAAGGAACAAATTCTCTTTTTAAATAAAAATTTAAAAGGGTTTCCTTAAATGGATCATGTCTTTAATTTGCAAGTACATATGCATGATCTCTTTCCAGTTCACAATCAATCTACCCCCAGGTCAAAAATATGTGTAAGAAAATTGGCCTAATATAATATTATTTATAAACATACCTGTCCAGCTGTCCAGCGATTAGTGCATGGAGGCAGGACCTCACAGCAGAAGCATACTCAATATTGTGTTGTACATTATTATATGTATTTTTCACTTATTGTATTTACCAACATCAAGAAGTCAGAAGTAAAGAAAGACCACATCATGCTGCATGTTTGAACAAGGGAACTTTATTGATCACAATAATTTATTAAATAAATAAACAAACAAAAACATGTTCAAAGCAGCACAGCGGTGGCCCAGTGTCAAACAGAACTCCACTCTGCAGCGTGAGCAGTCATAATGAAGCAGTTGGTTTTATTTTGTGGATTCAAGCTGCTCTTCATATTTTTGGCCACCAGATGTCACCAGAGAGGACTGTGTTGAAAAGCTTCGAGTAATGAAAACGTGCTTCAATACTTCAGAAAGCTTCATTTGGCCGAGTTTGGTTATGTTTTCCACTTTTGCAGATTATATCATGTAAAATCTTGGTTTAAATCGATTCTGACAGGTTTGTTAAGTTAACATGTTTTTTTTTCCATTTCAACTGTTAATTGGTTTAGTTTGAACTCACCTTACCTACCAGTGTTCCAGGAACAAAAGCAGGAAATGTAGTTTTACTGTATTTAATCTGGTTAATCTGAGGTCACAGGAAGACACCAGGTGAAGAAGCAGGAGAACCTTTGTAATTTAATAAAACTGATTTTAGACTGTGTTTATAGAGAAATTGATTTGTTGTAATACGTATCGTGTCTGAGTCCAGAAATGTTTGTCTTACCTATCTAATGGAGTAGTCCAGGGTGAGATTGTTTAAGTGGACCATTTAAGCAGAAAAGAACCAGTTCAGTGTAGCTGTTTACATTTTCACCTTCATTTCCATTGAGTTAAGTTCAGTTATGTTTATTTGATCTGAGTTAACTATGGAGTTGAGTTTCTTATTAAGTTTTGTAAATATTGTTTGGTCACAAAATGGTGAATAAATCACTCGCTCCACTGGACAGCATCAGTCTCCTGCCCTTCTTTAGCTGCTAAGGTCAAGTCCTTCTGGAAATGTGTCCACTCCTTTATGAGTGAGGACATGGATTGGAGAGTCAGTCAGCAGGATGGGAGGAGTTAGAGAGAAACTTGGGGTTTGTTTGAGAAAAGCTGGCCGTGAGTATGTTAGTATCACAGACCCCAGTGACTGACTCAGAGTTGAAGTGAACTTTTTATCTGCAACAGGAAGCCAGAGTTGCAGCATCTCAGGTTGAACAAACTCAGTTGTTAGCTAAACCTGCCCAGCCATATCTGTGACTGCTCCATGGGCACACAGCTAATCTGTGAGAGCTGGAATTTTTTAACTCAGTGACATCCAAATCAGTTTGGATCTTTAAAGTCAAATGTTTCTTTTTCACTCCATTAAAATGAAACTACCATAAAATTTGAATTAATTTTTTATACTGCAGGATAAAAAAAAGCCTGAATCAAATGATTATTTCCATTTATCATGCAGGTGGCTTGTGAATGGGACTGCGGTTCCACTGAATTTGGACCGATACTCCCTGGTGGCTGGTACCCTGGTGATAAGCAGCCCCGACCCCATCCGGGATACAGGCTCTTACCAGTGTCTAGCTATCAACCGCTGTGGCACCATCATTAGCAGAGCAGCCAACCTCAAGTTTGGTTGTAAGTAATAAAGACCTTTCAGTCATTTTACTTTGAGCTGCCTGCTTTAAAAACATGGCAGAAAAGGCACCAGACAAAAACACAAGTTTACATTCTTTGTCTGCTTCTGGATCAGAGCTCGCTGGTTTTAGGACTTTTCTCTGTTTTTTTCAGCATTTATTACTTATTTGTCTGCATTTGCTTGTTCCAGACCTCCATGACTTCCCTCCAGATGGCAGAAGTCCTCAAACAATAACTGAAGGTCAAGGAACGTTCTTGGCCTGCCAACCTCCTCCACATTACCCAGGTACCTCTCTGTTTCATTGTTCTTGAAAATGATAATTTATTATATATATTCTCAGAGAGCCACAGAATAGTCCTGTGTGTGGCTGGAACATTAGTTTTTTCTTTTGCATCATTTTCCTTGACAAAGAAAAAAGAGTCGTGCTGCAGCTAGCCACCTCACCACTAGTGCCCAGGGCCAGAAGGTGATTAACAGGTCAGAGGGGCAGAATATGACAGTAAATATGAAATGAAATCTCTCACTGATACATTGTGACTGTTATGATTGTGACTTTTTACAGTGAAATCTAAGCGCTGACAGAATGAAATGACTAAAGTGACTGACGGCAATTCTTTTCTTCTCTAGCGCTGTCTTACCGCTGGTTTCTCAACGAGTTTCCCAACTTCATCAGGAAGGATGATGGGCGCTGGTTTGTGTCACAGGTCACTGGGAATCTGTACCTGGCCAAAGCTGAACCTAATGACACAGCAAACTACTTCTGCTTCACAACGATCAACATGGAAGTTAGCACGAAGAGCACATTCAGCAAGGCCAACCAGCTCACGGTAGTCCCTGATGGTATGAAAGACCTACAGCTGCATCACTCGTCTCTTAGCATCCTCACGTGTAGTTGTTCCGCTGTCTGTAGTTGAGCATCAATGATTCTAAAAACATAGGATAACAGGGTGTTGTTGTTCACTGATAGCCCAGTGCAACGTCCACTTTTAAGTTGTGGCATTAGCTTGCCTGTTATCAGTTTATTAAAGGCTGAAGCAAAGTCGACTCAGAGACAGCTGCTGACTTTCTCCTTCTCATCAGTAACCCTGCTGGTCAGCCCATGGAATACTGGCCCAAGGCTTCCACTAAGGATCTCATTTAGACTGAAAGGATTTGGAATTTTACACTAAAAAGAGGTTATGGCACAGAATTAAGTGATAATCTAATCTAAGAAGATTTGCTTTTTCATTCCAGCCAATCCCAGGAAGTCAGCTCCAACCATTAAAGTGCGCTTCCTGGCAGATACCTATGCCCTGGCTGGACACACCACCCAGTTAGAGTGCTTTGCTTATGGAAAGTAAGTGTCCATCGCAGAAATTGCTGTGTGATGCTTCTGATGTGTCTTATATTATAGAGTGATGCGGTTCAGCTGTAGTAATACATGTCCAGGCATTTTTACATCCTCATACCCCAAACCTAATTATCACTCTCTGATCGCTGCACTGCATTTTATTGACCTCTTACTTCCATCTCTCAACTCTCGCTTTGCTTTTCATCTTAAAGTCCAGTTCCAAAGGTGCGGTGGAGGAAGGTGGATGGTCTAATGCCATCCAAGGCAGGCCCCACTGTGGAGGGTCCCACCCTGACCCTTCCTGAACTCTCCTTTGACGATGAGGGCATTTACGAGTGTGAAGCCTACAACTCAGAAGGAAGGGACACGCACCAGGGACGCATTAATGTCCAAGGTGACTACAGGTTCTTCATTGTGCAGCAAAGCATGGGTCATTTCATTTTAATGCACTCGTGTTCATTTTATAGCTCATGTGTATTTGTTTTTTCTTGACTTTCTTCTCGTCCAGCTCAACCAGAGTGGTTGCAGGTGATGACCGACTCAGAGGTGGAGATTAGCTCAGATCTTCAGTGGAGTTGTGTGGCTGCTGGAAAACCTCGACCCTCTGTACGCTGGCTACGCAATGGACAGCCACTTAGTACACAGGTAACACAACACACACACACACACACACACACACACACACAGCTGACCATAAAACTTCTGAAGAAGGCATTTGGCATGACCATGTGGGTACAGTTATCCTTTGGACTCGATTTTGAAGCAGAGAGATATTTCTTTGATGACAACCTCTCAGCCCATCATGATGGTACTGTGGGCATTCCAGTAGTTCCAGCTGGTGGCAGCATCAACCCTTGGTGCTTTCTGTGTTGTTCCTTAACCCTTTAAAGCCGGTCAGAGCGGCACGCTCTGTTTTGCGTAACTATTTTTAAATCCCTGTAGAACCGGAACCGCGTGAGCTAGCGCAATAATTTTTTTTCATATGAAACCAGAGGAGTTGTACTTACATCTTATGCCATCAGCTTGTCCTACGGTCACTTTCCTTCCACAAAATCATTTGTATTTGAAAAGAAACGACCATATGGGGAAAGTGTACTGAGACCAAAGGGAGCTAAAGGCTTGTCTTATCCAGTCGTTCAGTCTGACGTCACTAGCCGTGTCTGGGCCTAAACTCCGCTGCAGGTCCATATATCAAACGATCACTATGGCATTACTGAGAGTTGAAAAACTGTCTAAAGTCTTTCATCTTTAATAAAATGATCAGCGTTCTGCTCTACCAGGTGTAACAATTGAGTTTAACATCCAGGCATCCATGAAAACAGAATTTATGACATTTAACAAGTTAGAAGTTAGCAGGAGAGTTAGCTCGCTAGCTTCTATCTAAATACAATATAGCATGTCCTGACTGCGGGGTTTTGGAAACAAATTAAAACGTACAGCTCTGTTATCACTTCCAGACATAAATGAAGACAGAAAACTAAACAGCAGTGACGTTTGTAGGGTTACTGAAGTTGGGCTAGCTGGTATATAATGATGTGCTACGTGACCGCTAGCGACACAGCTATGTTAGCATAATATAAACAAGCTAACTTTTTTTCCACTGCGATAAAAGTTAACGTGAGTGTTCTCGGTGGTCAGGAACAAATGTAATCGCATGGCAGGATGCTGTAAAAGGACCAAACTTCAGCCAGGAGAACAACTGAGATAATCCATCCACAATACGAGGTTAGTCATTCATATACTGCTGCATGGGCTGGGCTGTAGTTACATCCTAAGGTTTTAAAAACTGAGCTTAAATAAATGATTAGCGGTAATAAAAGCCGAGGGAGGTCAACAGTGATCACTGACTGTTTTAGGAGCTTTTTGAGATAAATAGAAGAAATACATACATTAAACATGTTAACAACACAAAAGCCATATTAAACGCAGACTATTTTTTTTTAAACTTTATTTATCACATTATAGACATACAGTCAAGTAAAACAGGGATCACATAAAAGATGAACATTGTGGTAGTACAATGAGGAACAGAAAGAGTGACAAGGACAGTGAGACAAAAGTGAGTACAAAAAATAAAATAAATTAAGGGGAACATAAATAAACAAAAGTTTGCAAGAGCCAAAATCAAGTTAGCAGTTTCAATCGGTTACAGATTTTAACAGTCTTGAGAGCCTTAGTGTAAATGCAGACTACTTTAGACCCGGAAGTAGGATTCGTCGCGTCATCACTGAACAACCGGATATTCCAGAAACAGGCTTTGCCGATCCAATCAGCTGTTCGTAACACTTACCACATTGAAAAAGATATCAGCGCGAACTATTGCATGTCCGCCATTTCCTGCCCGAAACCGGAAGTGACGTCACATTCGTGAAAAATATAGTTTTTTACTTGTAGGCCTTAAAAGCCTATACTGGTGTTTTTATAAGTCATGTTTGACTTTATGCTTTTCTGAATAGTTTCTGGGATGCTTAGAACTCGAATTGCACTGCTGGAAATAGTTTATTTTGATGCTGTTTTCTTTGCAAATTTGCATCATAGGATTGTTTTTTTCGTTTTTCCTGCAGTATATAAAAATTGCTGTATCTCTAAAATAAAACTATGAAGACACTCAAAATAAATTTCCTGTGGTTGGAAACTATTTTTGCAACTTTTTTGTATTTAAAGTTTTGAGGGATAAGCCTCTTAAATTTCTCCAAGTAGAAATATATGTAAAAAAAACCAAAAACGATTTTCAATTCTTTTGTAGTTTATTGCTCTTTTTTGTAATTAATGTAGTTACTATGGACTTAATGCACACATATTATTAAAATCTGGGCTATAACAGTTGTATTGATGTATAGCAACTTGAAATGCTCTCAAAAATGGCTCCACAGCATGTAAAAATATAAAGTAAGCTCTGGCGGACTTGGTTCTATGGTAGGTCTTACATCCTAACAAATTTCCTCTCATGGGTGGTTGACAGGTTGGATTTTCAATCAGATCAATTTAAATTTTTAGTTTTTATTTATATAGCACATCATCACAACAACAGTTACCTCACCTACAGTACCCTACAATAGGGTAATGTCAGTAACGTAGTGGGGACGGAGCTGGACTCTCTTAGGGTGGAGTCTGAGAGGCGGATGTTGTCCAAGATAAAGACAATACTGGACAACACCTCCCACCCACTCCATGACGTGCTGGCCAGTCACTGGAGCACACTCAGTGGGGGACTGAGATTACCCATGATGCACCACTGAACGACATAGGAAATCATTCTTGCCCATGGACATCGCTGCACCACTCCTCCATCTAATAGGCTGTAAACACTGTAATAGTTACACCTTTTTGCACACGCTCTTTTCTTACTCGCTAATGTTGCTCTCAACTTTCTTAATATTTATCTATAATCACCTCTGTCAATCATTGATATTTATTATTGAGTGATTTGTATATATTGTGCTATTTCTTAAATTTGTAAATCTGTAACATATTGTATTGTTAAATAGTTTGTTGTCTATTTTTGTTACTGTACAGGAGCAACTGTAACCCACATTATTTCCTTAGGGATTAATAAAGAATTCTGATTCTGAGTACAACAGCAAATCAGAATAACTTGTATTTATGTCCAATTTCTAGAACTGACCTCAAAATCTGCAGTTGTTCAGAAATGGCTTCATTGACCTTCTGGAATAGTATTCTGAAGTTCCAAGACATTAGAGATATTGTAAATCTGAAAACTCCTTAAAATGGGGCATGGGGTTTATGGAGAGGGCTATGAGCACATTGTGGCATAACTTTCATAAGTTCCTTATTTATTAGGGACTTCGTCTTGATTCCAACCATGGATACTGCCTCTTAAAAGCAGTGAAAAAAGGAGCCAAAGCATAATCAGACAAATAAGGAAAGCTGTGCTTCAGTTAATGATTCGACCTAAGAACACTTGCATGTATGAATATGGCTTTTGTCCTTTAATAGTTTAATTGTCACTTTAGTTATTTCTGCAAACAGTGAGCTGAATAATGCAGTACTGTACAGCCTGCTTTGTTACACATGTCACAGATTGGTTTGTGCTTTCTGTAACTTTATCTCTTCTTTACCTTCTTCGGACCTCAAGGATCGTGTGGAGGTGAATGGAGTTCATCTTAGAATCATCAACCTTGCTCTGGAGGATTCTGGCATGTACCAGTGTGTGGCTGAAAACAAGCATGGCACCATCTACTCGACTGCTGAGCTCAGGGTCCAAGGTAGATAGAGACTTTTCATTCTCGAGCCAAGTAGTCAATTTTTTATTGTCAAACCAACAATATACACTCAAGTATACAGTCGGGTGAAATATCGTCCTCCTATATCAAAGGTGCAGACTGTACAATGAAAGAAATTCAAATACATACGTACAACTATACAGAAACAAAATAAACTACGAATAAGTACAACAGTATTGTACTTGAATAGAAATAGAGTAAGAATTAGTGATGGGAATTCCAGCTCCGGCTCTTTTGGCTCCCAAACCGGCTCTTCAGGTTGTTTTGTTGCTTTAATTAATTTATTATCAACAACAATAGAAAATTATGAACAAAAGGAATTACTAATGTAAAAAAAAGTGGTTTTATTTATATATGTTTATATATAAATATATACGGTGGCCCCTAGAGACAAAGCACGTACAAACTCCAAAACACATTTCTAGCATAAACTGAACTTCCAAAACAGAGCTACCTAGATCACTTAAATTACACAATTGAAAGCATATGTGTTTGTTTGTGTATTTATACACAAGCACTCATATATATTCAAATAATTAAAAAAAATTTAACCTGTTACTATGACACACCAAATCCGGTCGTTGTTACTTCCTGGCTTGTGTAGCCACTCGGTAACAAAAGCTCCACACTGCCCCCTAGCATCCAGGAGCACTTCTGTTGTGTTTTGGAGGTTTCACATGCTTCGGAGTTTGTACGGGATTTGTCTCTAGGGGCCACCGTAAGTATACTTTTATTTATTTACTCCACATAAAATGCAATAAAAAATTATAAAATACAAAGACCAACTATTTACATTTCAACTTTTAACTATTTAAATTTTCAGCCTTTTCCTTTTAAACTAATTGAAAGTGAAACAACACAAAACACTGCAAACCACAACACAATAAAAATACAAATTATAATATGCAAAACAAAAGGAAGATGCACAGAGGACAGTGAGAGGAACGTGTTATGTAGTCCAAAGAAGTGTGTGTGGAGAAGAGAGTCCAGTGTGGAGGGGGGCAGCATGGAGCTGGACTGCTTGGGGGAAAAGCTATTGCACAATCTCGCCGACCTGCTCCTGATGCTGCAGAGTCGTCTTCTGGATGGGGGAGAAGAAAAAAGTTGGAGGGAGTGGTGATGCGGGTCAGCCATGATGGTAGTGGCTTTATGAATGCAGCATGAGGTATAAATGTCCAGTAGGCTGGGTAGAGAGCTGCCAACGATGTGCTCCACACAATCCTCTGGAGGGGTCAAACACAGTTCCTGTGCTCAGTGTGATGGATCTTGTATGTCCAACCTGAGATCCATTGATCGGTTTGTGTGGTATGCGAGCTGTAGTGGGTCCAGTTTGGTCTGATGGTGGTGTTTTTAAAGCACTGTGGAACAACAGCTTGGCTCAGGGAGATGTTGAAAATGTCCGCTGGTCGGCACAGGCTCTGAGCACACGTCCAGGTATATTGTCTGGTCCAGTAACTTTTTGTGGGTTGACCCTAGCGAGAGTCCTTCTCACTGACTGTCACTGTCTCAGCATTCTCACTTATGTCTGTGTGATAGACACAGATACCTGTTTCTTTAGTTACTGGCCCATAAATAGGACTCTTGTTACTTCAATCTATTCTACTTTTACCTGTAAAAAGGTGTATTGATAATTCCTAAAGACAACATAAAAGCATGCCATTACGTGTAAAAAAAAACGTATTAATTTTTCTTTGGATTAAAACAAACAGGAGATACAATTGACAGCAATGCACCACTCTCTTTTGTTCCCCTATCCTTGTGTGTCTCTTCCTTTCAGTTCAGGCTCCAGACTTCCGGTTGAATCCAGTAAGGAAGCTTATTCCAGCAGCTAGAGGGGGACAGGTGATGATTGATTGTCGCCCTCGAGCTGCCCCGAAGCCCAGTCTGTTCTGGAGTCGTGGAACAGAGTTGCTCACCAACAGCAGCAGGTATTCCCCTAGCTAAGCCTGTGTTACAGTTCATACCACAGTGTAAACAGCATGTATGGTCAACTACCATGGTCAGTAAAGTCGATCCTAGCACTGATTGTTTTGTGCACCCTCATGTAGTATCTCAGGCCAAAGTGTGATGCACACAGATGGCTGCAAAAGAACATTGGCTGCTTGGTCTTTCATTTTTGTAAGCTTCTATTCCATGAATAGTACAAGAACAACTGAAAGCAGTCTCACAGGTAGCTGAGGCCTGTTCCCATGCTATTCTGTGATAAATGACACAGATAAAATATCTGTTGTTCCAAGCACTGAACTCATTGATTTGTATATTATTATTTTTAATGGAACTTTCAACACGAGGTCCAGAGAGATGTTGTTGCAAGTAAAGGAGTCTATCATACCAGTCAGAGTAGCCAAGTATATATAACCTATACTTAAAAAACAATATATAGACAGAGACAGTTTTGTTAATTTTAAGTTTTTGGAGATGGTAGACAATATACAAAATTGGCTGTAATAACATAACAATTAATATAGTACCTTTGTTAAATACCTTGAATTTAAATTTAAAGTGTGCACTTACCGTATTTTCCGCAATATAAGGATTATATATATATAAAGTCCTTTAATTTTCTCAAAGATCGACAGCGCACCTTATGTATGAATTCTGGTTGTGCTTACTGACCTCAAACTGATTTTATGTGCTACACGGCGCTCAAAAATCTGTCAAAAATGTTTTAGTATGACTTTGCTAAGCTTCGAAGCCGCACCGCTTGATGGATTGTTGGAGCATTACAGCTACTATAGTCAGGAGCCTCACGGAGTGATCGTGGTCCCAGACTCTGTCTGCTTCAAGTCCTAAAGTCAAA